AATGCAAAACCAGTGGCAGCAGCGAAAAACTTGCTTCCTTCGCGAATAATTTCCATTAAAATAGATTAAAAACTGAAATATTTATATATATATCCTAAGCAAGTAAGTATAAGTATATGTCAATGTGTGGGTGAAATCATGGTACCCCGAAGGAGGTGAAAGTATTAAAAGTACTTGCTTACGCATTCCTGCTGCCACGTCTTCATCTCAGTGTTATATGAAGCAGATTACATGGCATAATAATCTCGATAAAGGGGGAGACACAAGCTTACATATACATATAGATATGTATATATAGAAAAAGGGGGGTTTGGGGTTAAGAACACGCGCAAATATTAAATTTTATGCCGGCAGCCAGGGGAAAATAGCTGAGGGGAAGTGCTGAAAAGCAATGCCGCAGGGAAATGCTGGGCCAAAACGGAAAGGTAGCAATCAAAGTGGCCAGGTGAGAAGGAGCAGGGGCGTCGCAACCCCCCTTCAACCAAAAAAAGAGATAGATAGCCAGCTTAGCCTCGAGGAAAATGAAATGTTCCAGCTAAATGCTGAAGATGTGTGAATAAACTGATTGATATTGCTGCCATAAGCTGAAGGATAATCCCTCAAAGTGTGAGAACTATAATTGCAAAGGCGCAAGGAAACTTAAGACATATTAAAATGGGAATATATAGTTGAACGAATGGAATAAAATGATTTTCACACATTTTCAAACTCTGCCAAAACACTTAACCCCAAAAATACCGTCAGAGTTCATCAACTTTTCCCCCGCGAAAAACTCTCAACACCTGCAAATTGATTGAAACGCACCCAGAAGAATGAAAATATTACGAAACTTCGCTTCGCCAAAAATCCGAAACCCACAGCCAACCCCCCATGAAAATCCCCCTGAAACTGACACGAATGGGAATATAAAAGGAAAATAATGTGACCTTTGAGAGCATCAAATGCGTTTCGTAATGGGCCGGGCCAAAAAAACAAAACTGAAACCGTAACAGAAATCTCCAAATAACCGAAAACTGGATACCTAAAAACAACAGCCTACGAAATTTGTTGAATTATGAAGGAGCAGTGAAAATACCATGTTTTCTTTTGTTTCGCTGAAGTTTTCCGCTCATAAATAGGTTTCTATCTCCGTTTACTTAGAGCCAAAGTTCTGTTTTAACGGTGGGGGAGTTAAATTTATAGAGGTTAATTCCGCTATACACAGATGTAGAATCCCTGGCCATAAGCCCTGTCAAGTCGAGTTATGTGAAGAGTTGCCGGGAATCTGCGAACTGAACTGAAATTCGGGGATTTGTTTTTATTGCCTTGGCGCCTGCGCATTGCAAAGCCGCCTTTTTGCGCCTTTTTCCATTTCATTGGAAGTACTTTGGATGCTGCCTAGGATCTCTCCACTTCCTCGAGGTTATAAATTATTTATTGTTTTTTGATACAACATGATTTGGAGTTCGAGAGTTGGTCGCATGTGCTCGCATTTCTTGATGCTTACTTCATTAAGTCGCCCGGGCAAAGTCATAAAATCTGATATGACCCTCTCTAGCTGTCTCTTTCGTCGGCCCCCTCTTGCTGTCTCTTTCTGCGGCCGCCTGGCAAGTATAATTTCCGCACATTTTCACGTTTTGCACATTTCCGCTGCATACTTTTGTGCGCCCTGGCATTTTGATGACGCTTTTCGCCTGCGGATCGACCAACCGAAACCTTCCCCCTTTCTCCTTTCTCGCCAGCCTTTCTCCTCCTTTTTTACTGTATTTTACACAAATTCGTTGGTGGCTAGAACTACAGAGCTCCCCGCTGTTGTTGCTGGCATTTTAACGAGTTAATGCAGGACATGCAAAATGGCCAACATTTTGAATTCATTGAACTTTTAGCCGGGGCTACGGTTGTTTTTGGTTTTTTGGTTTGGCTGTTGCCTGGTTTTTGCCGATTGCTGCTCGGTTGCTTTGGTTATACGTGTACGTTTCATGTTGCACAATAAGTATCTGATAAATTTTATTTGAATTCTCGAGTCCTGCCAACTTGTTCTTATTAAAAGAGTTGAATTCTTGACTCGAACTTATTTGCTGTTAGTTTGCTCTTCGTTCTTTATTCTTCAACTTTGAAAAATATTTGTTTATCAATATAAAGTTTAAGAACTCCCAAATTTAAATATTTTATTTAGTTACAAAATTATAAGCTACGACTAAATAGTCCCCATTAAAAATTTGCCAAATGAAAAGCCATGAAAAATTGCCTGTCACCCTTTTTCTACTGGGGGTGAAAAAAACCTCATTAGTAAAATGTATAATTTCCTTGCCCGTTGCTCTTTTTTTCTACACATTCTTCCACTTCAACTTTATATATTCTTTCCTTTTTTCTGAGCTTCCCGCTTAATTTATTGTGCATATTCCAGCATTTTCTTCTTGCGCCACCGTTCTTTGTCATATTCATTGTACATTTTACACTTTGCTCGCTCATTTCTTGCACTTAAGAGGTTTACCCACTTTTTGCTCCCCCTGAAAAATATTATTGAGCCGAGAAAACTCGTTGAATCCGATGCTGTTTTGGCTTCTTGCAACCCTCCTCGTTTGGGGGCATTTTTAATGAGTCCTATGTAAATATATCGTTAGACTTAAGTGTGTATACGTGTTGTGTCTTGCGACGATAAGCGAGCCAAAAGGATTCGCCAGGACAGCCTTTGATTATGGGCAGCAGAACCACCAGCATCCACTGAGCAAAAAACTAAAAGCCAAGGCCCCGAAGAGGAAACGAGGATAAAAGAGACTGGGATGAGTGGCTAGTGGGCAGCAGGAATAAAAAATTATAATAAACCCCGAAAAATTTCAATCTCAATCGTCAACAAGTTTCGCCTCCTCAAAAACTGCTTGTTTTCTCCCCCTCTGTTTTCTACGGCACTCAACTTGCTTCAACTATTTTCCTATGCAGCGGGGTTTCAGGGTGGTTAAGAGGGAAAAGTCTCAGGCAACCGAGGGTTAATGCATGAACGAAATTCATGGCAAACCTTGAGCTAAATGCGCCCAGGAAAAAATACACATAAAACAATTTTTAAAACTTTTTAAGATAGTTGAAAAATATTATGATTAAATAATATTATAAAAATAAATATTCCACTTTTGTATTTTTAAAACGAACGAAATATTTTAAAATTAAAATTCTTAATTATCTACACTTTTTTCGCAGTGCAACTGACCAAAAATCGGATAAAATGCCGTTGCCGTGTCCCTTTTTCGACCAGGCCAAAACCAACCTGCCCTCTCTTCTATCTCCATCTCTCCATCCTTCTCTCTAACTCATCTCCCCTTTCTCCTCTTTCTCGTTTCTCCTTTCTCTCTTTTATGCTTTTTTGGCTGTTCTCTGATGAAAACTACTCAGCGACATGAAACTTAACTTAAAAAGTTTTGCACTTTCATTTTGTAAATGAAATGTTGGTGCTGTTCTTCTCGTTCTTGTTGTTGTTGTTGCTGGGAAATAACAGGAAAACAATTTGGAGCGGATAATGAATATGGGTTAGGTTTAGAGCACATATATGTGGGATTCGGTGTGTGTGAGGATGTGCATGTGGCTAGGGAATATTGCTTTTGTGAGCGAGAGATTCCCTTGCATTTTCCGGAAAAAGTGCCCCTCAAAGAGGGAAGGGGTGATTTTGGGGGAGGGGAGTGGAAATGGCGGAGCAATGAAGTGATGAATGCATTACTATATGGATGAGTGATGACGGAGCTCAGTAAATGTTCATGGGCCCATGCACTTTGGGGCTGTTTGCCAAAAATTCACAATAAATAAGGATCAAAAATGTAGGAAAAGGGTTCTCTGTTTCAGACCAATGGGTAGGGGAAGTTTAGAGTGGTTAAGGTCTGTAACTAACATGGATTTTATATTTTCTCTCTCTAAAAAATAATACAATAGGATCCCTAAAGTGTGCTTTACAGGGTGTTATAACACTCTAAAAAGTGTCACAAGGCCCACGTAATAAAAACAGTTTTACCTAAAATATAATTTTATCTTTTATTTTTCCAAAAACAAATTAGTCTTTTATCATTTTCCCTGTTTTATTCTACAATTTCAGCTACAAACAGTTTTTGTTCAGCTAGATCTTCTAGGGCTTCTCACGTTTTCTTTTGCATCCCTTGTCTGGGTATTTCAGAGCATAGCTTAACTTCTCTTTTCGCATTATTAGAGATTGTTTTTCCAGATCTTTGAGCTTTTTACCAACTTAAAAAGGAAATTTCCATTTAAGAAAACCCCTATAATAAAAGCAACCAATCTTCTTTTTGCTTGTAGCGTCCTTTTTTTACCCAACAATGTTCGCCTGTCGCTCACGTAATAAAAATGGCGCACATGGAACTCGGGAAATTCGAGTAGTGGGTGGGAGGGTGGTAGGGTGGCGGGAAAAGCGAGAGCCACAGAGAAGGCCACTCGCTCGCTGCCGAGGACTCACTGAAGCCGAGCGCCAGGTCGCCGAGCAATTTTATGAACAGATGTGTGGTAAAATTAATGGACAGAGATAAACTCGGCTGGCGAGTGGAAATGGAAAATCGAGGGTTAAACGAGCGAACGTTCTCTTTTGCGAAAGAGCGGTGAGAGAGCGGGAAGAGCGGCCAAAGGTTCGTTTGCAGGGCTTGTTTGCCCCAACATGATTTATGATCCTTTCACAACAAAAACCCACACAAAAAAAAAGAAGATAAATATAAAGAAAACAAGCTGAGTGAAATGTTCGAGTGAAAAGCTAGAGTTTCACTCAATGCGGGAAAAACAACCCCCTAGGAGCTTTTCGCTTTTCCGTCGCCGCTGCTGCTGTCGGGATTTTCGTGAAAAGCTGTTGACTTCGTTACGCTGATAACTTAAATATGCATGGAAATTTACATACGTGTCAATGGCATTAAGTAGCGTTATGTTATTGGATAAGCTCCGTCTAGGCAACAGTTTCGAAGTTTAAGGGTTTGTTTTTTGGGGTATTTCACTGGGGTCTTCTGACTGACATAGTGGGTATATAAAAGCGGTAGACTCACCTGAATTCCATGGGCTCCGCCACCCTGTTGGCTAATGTGCAACTGCTGCGTCTGCTTCATCTGCAGCGTTGTGGTCGTCGACTGTTGCTGCTGCTGTTGCTGCGGTGCATTCGAGGTGTTGCCGCCGGGTCCGGCATTCGGGTTGTTCTGCTGCCCGTTGTTGCCGGCATTTCCGCGCTGCTGCTGCTGCGGTCCACCCCCGGGTTGCTGCTGCTGCTGCGCCAGATTGCCGGGTTGCTGGCCGCCATTTGGACCAACCCGCGGCGGACAATTGAGGAAGTTGGCCGCCGCATTGGCGTTCTGGTTGCTGAAGGGCGAGTATTGCTGCTGCTGCTGTTGCAGTTGCTGCTGCTGTGGCACCTGTTGCTGCTGCTGCTGCTTGTTAAAGTTCGGCACTCCGCCCATTTTGGGCTGCTGTTGCTGCTGCTGGTGGTGTTGCTGCTGCTGCTGCTGTTGCTGCTGCATGGCCTGCTGCTGCTGCAGGCGCTTGAGATCGAAATCGTTTTGAGAGGAATAGAAGAGCTCCTGCTTGATGTCCAGGAAGCTCTGTTGCATGCCAGCACCGGGACCGCCGCCCGGAACCTTCTGGTGGAACTGCGGCGGCAGATGTTGCTGCTGCGGCTGCTGTTGCTGCTGCTGCTGCTGCTGCTGCGGGCCGTTGGGTCCCAGGCCAAAGTCATTGGGGAAGCCGCCACCGTAGTCGTTGTAGCGACCCGGCTGACCTTGGCCCATCATCTGACCATGTTGCTGCTGCTGGGCCTGTTGCTGCTGCTGCTGTTGTTGCTGCTGCTGCTGTTGCTGCTGCTGCTGGGGATTCATGCCGTGCGGCGGTCGGGGGAAGCCACCCATGCCGCCCATGGCGTTCTTGTGTTGATGCTGCTCGGCCATTTGCTTGAGTGTCTGGGCGGCCAGCGGATGTTCAGACATGAGATTACCAGAGTTGCCACCATTGCCGCCGGGATTGCCGGCGTTGCCACCTCCTGCACCATTATTAGGGAAGCCTCCTCCGCCTTGATTGCCGCCAGGATTGCCACCTCCGCGCATCTTCATGCCCGAGTTGTCGAGTCCCAGGCCAAAGCCACCGAAACCATGACCACCCAGTCCACCCTCCGACTTCACATTCAGGCTGTTGATCAGATCCTGGGCATTCGGCGGCTCCACCTTGATCCCGTCCTCCGTCTTGATGTCCAGCAGCGGCTTCTCATCGAAGCCGTCGAGGAAGCTGGGATTGAAGTCCTGCAGGTTGTTGATGAGATCCTTGAAGGTGTCGTTGTTCTCCGAGTTGTCGTCGCCGAGGAGATCGGGAAAGCCGGGAAACTGACCGACGCCGCCAACGCCGCCGACGACGTCTTTGTCCAGCGAGCCGAGATCGGGGAAATCGTGATCGGGTTCCCGCTTGCACTCCACCAAATTGGCCAGGTTGCCAAGGGCGGTCTTCTGCTGGGCGGACATCATGTTGGGTGGCATGCCGCCCATGCCGCCGAGGCCTCCGGGATTGGTGGACATGCCACCGGGTCCTCCTCCTCCTTGGCCCCCCCTTCCATTGTTGCCGAGGCCACCCAGTCCGCCGCCTTGTTGTTGCTGGTGATGATCGCTTCCGTTGTTGCCGTTGTTGTTGCCGCCTCCCCCGCCTCCTCCTCCTCCGTTGTTGTTGCTATTGCCACCACCAACACCTGGTTCACTTTTCACCGACGTATTGGTCAGCGCCTTTACAGTGACATTTGTGCTAATCTGCTGCGGTTGCGAATTGGCCGCCGATGTGGTAAACTCAAGTTGTTGTACAATTTCCACCGAGAATTTGGTTAGATTCTCTGAGCCGTTGTTGATGTTGTTCCCATTGTTGTTCCCGTTGTTGTTGTTGCTGGTGCCATTGTTGCCGTTGTTCGAGTTGTTGCCGGTGTTGTTGTTGGAGCCATTGTTGTTGTTGCCGCCGTTGTTGGCATTCGAATTGCCGTTGTTATTGTTGCTATTGCTATTGTTGTTGTTATTGGGCAACTTGTGCGGCGGTTCAAAGCTGTCAGGGCCATTGTCAACATCCTCCGCGGGTCGTTTCAGGAATTTTTGTTGCTAAGGAGAAGAGAGGAGCGAAAATAAATATATAAGTTAGGTGCAATGATTAGAGTAATTACAAATTTTAATATCATCATTACATTTCCATCATTTATTGGAATCTACTTAATATTAATTCATTATAAAACATAATTTTAAAAATCATTATTGGTCCTACTAGCATTATAAAATAAAATAATTATTTGAAAAAAAGAATATTTTTATATTATAAAAGTAATAAAAATAAACCTTAAAAATTAGTTTCAATTTTCATCAACTTATAGTATTTAAATAATCATAAATATTAAACAATTAAAACCCTTTACAATTAAATCCCCCAAATCTTACCCAAATATTCATAGATAGTTCGTTTATAGCTTTAGCTGGCTTAGGCGAAGTTTAGTTTAGTTTTTGATTAGTTCAGACATTAAGAGTCGAGAGCCGAGATTTGGAAACACTTCGATATATGGAGACACAGAAGTTTAAATAGCTGTAGCACGATTTGGGGTCGTCGGGGAGTTGTGGGGAGATTTTAGGCTACCACTCGATAGGGAGAACTTTTCGGGCCAGTGTTGTGTAACGACGTCGACAGTGCTGAGCAGCGTCGAAAGTTTTGCATTTTGTTGCATTTGATTCGCGGGCGCATTTGGCTTTTGATTTCACGGCTTTTAGAGTTTTCTCCTTCGATCTTTTGCTTTTGTTCTTTTGATTGAAATTTGATTTGTTCAGGCTGCACGGCGCACACATAGGGAAATTACACATAAATTAATAATACACATGTATATACTGGCTGCATTGATGAGCCGCACGATTCGATTAACACTCAACAACAATGGCAACAACACATCGCTGACTTGGCAAGAGTAATCAAAAGAAATTCACTTGCAAGACGTGCAAAAATTATTGAAAAGCCATAGCGAAATTTCATGAAAATCGCAAGTGCACAAAGGCAGTGGCAAAAATCACAAAATGTATAAAAAAAATCACAAAAAAATACAGAGAGGTAGCTAGAAGCAGAAACAATAACATAAAAGGCAAAGACACTTCTAATCAGTGGCAAAACGCCGAAGTCGACTGAGAAAAAAGAGAACCAGAACACAGAGCACCCGAGTATCTGTGTGAGCGATTGTGCGCCAGTGTGTGTTGTGTTGGCGTCGGCGCTGCTTTTGTTTTTGTTTTTGCTTCTGTTCTGCTTTACTTCAGCGCTTTTAATACCCCGCAATCGCATAATCAAAGGGTATATGGAATATATAGTGAAGTTGGTAGCAATCAAATAGGATGTTTTGGTATATACAGAGAAATAAGGTAAATATAACGCCGGAAACTATCTTGGGAAAGCTTTATACTTATTTTTTACCAACTTTAAACAATCCTATAATATTAAAACCAGAAGAAATGGCTAAAAAGAGTTTTGAAATCATTTATAAAGAGCTCTAAAAGTATGCAATAAATAATAGAGCGTTTAGTTCAGAAGCTTTGACACAATAAACCATCATACTGATTTATAGGGATTTGAAAACAATTAAAAATATATACAATCATTGCTTTGAAAATATTTTTTAATTATTTGCATTTTATGATAAACAATTTATACTTCCAATTAAAACCTAATTAAACTCATTAAACCCCACATAATTGCCAAGTATAAGATAGTCGAAATAACTTCGCTCCAATCATTTTCACTTGCTTGTAAAGTAAAGTGAATAACAGCGGAGGCAAATACAACAAAAAATGGAAGACGAAGGCGAAAAAAGCAAGAAAAACAATCACATTTAAATCAGAATGTGTTTGCTTTTCAGTTTTTATTTCCATGCCTCCAGTAAAGGCGAAGCGCGCGCGACTTTTGCTGTTTATTTTGTTTTTAATTAATGCAAAATGTATACAAAATAGCCGCGAATAGGCGCAGCCACCAACACAATGACATATGAGTGGGGTCGCGAGGTGTGCGTGTGAGTATCTGTGTGAGTGTATTCAGTGCACACACGATATAGTACTTCAACCTGAAGAAGAAGAAAAGCAAGAAGAAGAAGCAGAGGACTCGGTTGCAACTTGCAAGTGTGCGGAAAGTTGCGAAATGCTCTGGATAACCGCAAGTGACTCGTTTGTGGGGTGCAGAATTATTCACCACAATTTACAAAATATTCCCTGCGACCACCTGAAAACAGTGACGATTCGATATAAGGGAAGTCTCCTATTCCTAGTGTAAAACATACTTTCAGAGACTTCCGTTTATTAAGTAAAAATTACAATTTTGTATTCTTCTTAAATATTAAAAAATATTTTACAATAATAGAAAGTAAGGATCTCTTTTATGATCGAATATCTTAAGTTTTCAATCAAAAATATTTTCAAAAATAATCTTAATTCTTAAACTATTAAAAACAAATATTTGAGTAGTTGGCGTTCAGCATCCCAACCTCCCACCTAAAACTATTAATTATTTACGGATTACCAAAGTAAAATGTCTTCTTAACCGCACTCTCAGGTCATCGATAGCCACTCAATCGCTGGCTAAACAATTACATTCGACTGCAAAACTATCCCCCCGAATGAATAGCAAAGTGAATAGCCGCACAGCACTCATTACGCATTCACATTCATACACAATCTCTCGCACTCACAAAACACTTTCGCCTAATAAGTTTATGGCGCTTTACAACACTCGAAATGCAATGCACACAATTGGCCCGTTTCGGCCATCTCCATCCCCCTCTTCACCCATTTCTCCCCCTTCTCATCTTCCTCTCATCATTTCTCTGTGTACTATCATTCGTTTCGATACACGCGCCAACACTTTTCCCCCATTCACTTGGCTCATTATGAATAAATGACATTTCATAAATTTGTTTTTCCCTGCGACCCGAACTCTGTCTCTTCTTCTTCTCCTACGGCTACTGCCTACCATCGATCATGCCGTCTCTTTCACTGCCCTCTAACTGCACATCGGCTGTCTCTTTCGCTGGCTGTATATCTGTAAATGTATCTGTATCTGTGTGTTTTTGGTATCTTTCGATGGAAACGTGACACAAAGAATGCAAACTTGCGTTGACCAAAAGGCGGTGGGAAAATGGGCAAAAGGGAAAGAAATATGTAACCCACTGCAGAAATAGAGGGGCATAGTCGAGCAGAAAGAGAGCGATAGCTTACACAATTTACAAACTTAAAAGTAATTTAGTTTTTTACGACTCCACTGCGGTAATAAAAATGTTTTGCCACCCCCACACACACAACCCATCTTTTCCACCTATAACTACAGCATAGTCGTACCCTTTGGCCTCCCTCCTCCAACCCTTTGAACCCCTATTTCCCCCACTACATTTACTGCATTTACATTTATCGATGCGTCGCCTTCAGCGTCGTCGACATCCTCATCTTCGCCTTTGCCTTCGTTCTGGCCTCCGTCTTCGCTTTTTATGTCTCGCTGGTGGTGGGGCTTAATAACTTTGTCGGGGGGCAAGTGTCTGGGGTCTAGGGTATACTGAAAATCGAAGGTTGAGCTCACTGAAGTAGTGGTCACATTGTCACAAGCTGAACGTAAATCAGAGCGTTTCCTTTATCAAATTTAATTAGGAGAACATTTTAAAACTTCGATGATATCAGAAATTTTTTTAAGTGTGTATAAAGTAAATTTTAACTTAGAATTTATAGAAAACAATGCTTAGACTTTACAGGAATAAAAACAATAGTATTTAAAACTTGTGGTTTTCTTTTTTAAATATTTTACTAAATTTTATTATTTTTTTTTTTTTTTTTTTTTTTATGTTTTTAACTTTTCTTACAAAGCTATTTTAGGTTCTATTTGTTTGGTTGCTCAAAAAGAAAGTCAAATATTTCTCGGCTTATGACTCGTTTCTGTATCTTCGCTGTCTATCAGTCTGCCCCACTCTTTGATATATTTTCTGTTTGCTTTACGCGCAAATGAAATAAAGCAACAGAAATTATGCCGCGAACCTTGACACATTAAAAATAAAAAAGCAACAACAAAGGCGTCAGTAAGAAGACGCGTCACCCATCTCTCTTCCACCCTGTCTCCCCCTCTCGCTTCCACTCGCTTCCACGCAGCTAGTAAATTTTTGCGTGTAAAAATAAAAATGTGGAAAAGCTTCTTTCCACCTCTCGTGGCGACCAGTTCAGTTCAGTTTTGTATGAATTTCGTTTTCATGATTCCAATGCATAAACAAAAGAGAGCGCGTCTAACGCGTCGTATGATTAATGCGAATTAGCGGCGAATCCAAACCGACACTCTCGGCCACTCAGCACGGGGAAAAAGAAGAAGAAAAAACAATATATAGCTATATAGCAGCAGCTAGCCCCAAAACGGAAATCGTCTCTCGTCCCCAACAGCAAAAGCAACAGAAAAACACATCAAATGTTTCGTGGAAAGCCTTCGTTTTGCGTTCGTGTTGTTTGATTAGTTGGTTGGGTTGCCAGTGGCTAGTTGCTAGAGTTTGCCACATTGCATGGTATATGGTATATGGGTGCTGAGAGACAGGAACTGGAAGATGATAGAGGAGGAGTCGCCTTGGATTCCCCAGAAAATGGCGGCCATACAAGGCCAAATGCGTAGAAGAGAGGTATAATTAAGCAGATTAACGTTATTGAATTCACCGAAGAATGTGCCAAAAAGTTTTAAGAATTTAATGAAATCACTATGGACGGCAGTCCATGTAGTGACGAAGCGCACCAGGAGAGTGTGCGAAGGCGACTACTATTATATAGCCGCAAAATTGAAAATCTGCTGTGATAGTCCGATCGTAATGAGTAATACACCAATCGAAAGGTATTGCAAAAACTTAAAGGATTGCATACCAAGACTTTAAGAAAATCAATTGGCTTGGGAGAGAGAGCGGTGAAAGTGAAAAAGTGAAAATTTCGAAATTTGGAGCTGTTGGGGCCGGTGGGGATAAATGCCCCCTCGCAATGTTTTAGTTGTATTCCTTTTGAAAATACCCGTCGAATGAGGGGTCATTTGTCAAAATCCGACTCTCCGTTCAAAAGTTATAGCCAAAATAAGATTT